TGTCAGATTGTTTTCCAAACTAGAATCTGGAAAGCTCACAGGCGGAGAGAGTAAACCTTTCTCCCAAGGCTTGACAGACGCATTCTCATGAGAATCTGCCCTTTGCAGCGAAGCCTCTCTGTCAGTGTCTGCATGAAACTCATTGACCAAAATGTCTCCATCTTGCACCTGAGTCAGTCCCAGTATCCCCCACCTCAGAAGCAACAGGGGACTGACTTCCCTCCTCATTGCCCACATCAGACACAGAAACATCAGGAGACTGAAGCACATTCACAGGTGGTTCAAGCCCAGGCTGAGTCCCAACAATAACCTTATATCCACAAATGTAGACGCACCTAGAGAAGGCTAAAGGCCTTGTGAAACTATAACTCCCATGCTCCTCTAGCATTGGAACCCAATGTATGTCCTTCACTCAAAAAATGATTTTATCATTTGGGAGTTGTAGTTGCTGGGATTTATAGTTCACCTACAACCAATGAGCATTCTGAACCCCACCAACGATGGAATTGAACCAAACTTGGCACACAGTTCTCCCATGACTAATAGAAAATACTGTATGGTTTTGGTGGGCAGTGTCCTTTGGTTTTGGAGTTGTAGTTCACCTCCATCCAGAGATCACTGTGGGCTCAAACGATGATGGATCTGGACCAAATTCTACACGAATACTCAATATGCCCAAATGTGAACACTGGTGAAGTTTGGGGAAAATAGAATCTTGACATTTGGGAGTTGTGGTTGCTGGGATTTATAGTTCACCTACAATCACAGAGCATTCTGAACCCCACCAACGATAGAAATGGATCAAACTTGGCACTTAGTTCTTCCATGAGCAACAGAAAATACTGGAAGGGTTGGGTGGGCATTGACCTTGAGTTTGGGAGTTGTAGTTCACCTACATCCAGAGATCACTGTGGGCTCAAACAATGATGGATCTGGACCAAACTTGGCATAAATACTCAATATGCTCTAATGTGAACACTGGTGGAGTTTGGAAAAATAGAATCTTGACATTTGGGAGTTGTAGTTGCTGGGATTTATAGTTCACCTACAATCACAGAGCATTCTGAACCCCACCAACAATGGAATTGAATCAAACTTGGCACACAGTTCTCCCATGACCAATAGAAAATACTGGAAGGTTTTGGTGGGCAGTGTCCTTAGGTTTTGGAGTTGTAGTTCACCCACATCCAGAGATCACTGTGGACTCAAACAATGATGGATCTGGACCAAACTCTACATGAATACTCAATATGCCCAAATGTGAACACTGGTAGAGTTTGTGGAAAATAGAATCTTGACATTTGGAAGTTGTAGTTGCTGGGATTTATAGTTCACCTACAATCACAGAGCCCCCGGTGGTGCAGTGGGTTAAACCCTTGTGCTGGCAGGACTGGAGACTGACAGGTCGCAGGTTCGAATCCGGGGAGAGGCGGATGAGCTCCCTCTATCAGCTCCAGCTCCTCGTACGGGGACATGAGAGAAGCCTCCCACAAGGATGATAAAAACATCAAATCGTCCGGGCAATGTCCCCTGGGCAACGTCCTTGCAGACGGCCAATTCTCTCACACCAGAAGCGACTTGCAGTTTCTCAAGTCACTCCTGACACCACAGAAAAACCCAAACAAACCTTATTTCCACAAATGTAGATGCATCTAGAGAAGGCTCAAGTCCTTGTGAAACTACAACTCCCATGCTCCTCTAGCATTGAGAAATGGGAGCTAGTGTGGAGTCAGACTGTATTATTTCTGCAGTGTGGATGCAACCTTTGTTGGAATGCGTTCCTTTTCTCTCTCCGCCAACTTTCCTCCTTTTCGTGCTGCAAAAGGCTAACCCAAGAGCTTCTCTCAAAACAACATTTGGTGAGTTAGGTAACGGAATGAAACTGAGTGGGATCCTGTCGTTAGTGGGCCGCCTCCCAAAAGCCTGAGCCTCCTGGGCGGCCACCTGCTGCTCTGCATCGGAATCCAAATTGGGAATTGCAAAGGTGGAGGGAACAGGGAACCAGATGGATGGGCTCCGTTGGCCTGCCTTGGGGTCCAAACGGTGGGCTGGTAGAGTCCTGGGCTTGGCTCGGAGCATCATGCCCCCCTCCCCAAATTCCCACCCCACTTTCCCCCCAGACTCTGCAATCACCCCCAGGGCAGGTCTGCCTGTCAAGCAAAGGAAGAAAGCTGCAAATCAATACATCACACACACACACACCAAGCCTAGATCCCAGTCAAAGCCCTGCCATCTGTCAGGAGTGCTTTGGTTGTATTTTCCTGCATGGCAGAAGGAGGGAGGACTCACTAGATGATCTTTGGTGACCCCTTTCAGCTCATGATCAAGGGTTTGGAGAACAATCCCTATGAGGAGCGGCTTAAGGAGCTGGGCATGTTCAGCCTGAGGAAGAGAAGGCTGAGAGGAGACATGATAGCCATGTATAAAATATGTGAGGGGAAGGCACAGGGAGGAGGGAGCAAGCTTGTTTTCTGCTACCCTACCAAGTATGATGTGGAAGAACAAGCCCTATGAGGAGTGGCTTAAGGAGCTGGGTATGTTCAGCCTGAGGAAGAGAAGGCTGAGAGGAGGCATGATAGCCATGTATAAAATATGTGAGGGGAAGGCACAGGGAGGAGGGAGCAAGCTTGTTTTCTGCTACCCTACCAAGTATGATGTGGAAGAACAAGCCCTATGAGGAGCGGCTTAAGGAGCTGGGCATGTTCAGCCTGGAGAAGAGAAGGCTGAGAGGATGCATGATGAGGGCCATGTATAAATATGCGAGAGGAAGCCACAGGGAGGAGGGAGTAAGTTTGTTTTCTGCTACCCTACCAAGTATGATGTGGAAGAACAAGCCCTATGAGGAGCGGCTTAAGGAGCTGGGCATGTTCAGCCTGAAGAAGAGAAGGCTGAGAGGAGACATGATAGTCATGTACAAATATATGAGGAGAAGCCACAGGGAGGAGGGAGCAAGCTTGTTTACTGCTACCCTAGCAAGTATGATGTGGAAGAACAAGCTCTATGAGGAGCGGCTGAAAGAGCTGGGTATGTTCAGCCTGAGGAAGAGAAGGCTGAGAGGAGGCATGATGAGGGCCATGTATAAATATGTGAGAGGAAGCCACAGGGAGGAGGGAGCAAGTTTGTTTTCTGCTACCCTAGCAAGTATGATGGAAGAACAAGCCCTATGAGGAGCGGCTTAAGGAGCTGGGAATGTTCAGCTTGAGGAAGAGAAGACTGAGGAGATATTATAGCCTATAAATATGTGAAAGGAAGCCACAGGGAGGAGGGAGCAAGCTTGTTTTCTGCTACCCTAGCAAGTATAATGTAGAAGAACAAGCCCTATGAGGAGCGGTTGAAAGAGCTGGGCATGTTCAGCCTGAGGAAGAGAAGGCTGAGAGGAGACATGATGAGGGCCATGGATAAATATGTGAGAGGAAGCCACAGGGAGGAGGAGGGAGCAAGCCTGTTTTTCTGCTACCTTAGCAAGTATGATGTGGAAGAACAAGCCCTATGAGGAGCGGCTGAAAGAGCTGGGCATGTTTAGCCTGAGAAAGAGAATGAGAGGAGATGATGAGGGCCATGTATAAATATGTGAGAGGAAGCCACAGGGAGGAGGGAGCAAGCTTGTTTTTCGCTTCCCTGGAGACTAGGACGCGGAACAATGGCTTCAAACTACAAGAAAGGAGATTCCATCTGAACATGAGGAAGAACTTCCTGACTGTGAGAGCCGTTCAGCAGTGGAACTCTCTGCCCCAGAGTGTGGTGGAGGCTCCTTCTTTGGAAGCTTTGAAACAGAGGCTGGATGGCCATCTGTCAGGGGTGATTTGAATGCAACATTCCTGCTTCTTGGCAGAATGGGGTTGGACTGGATGATGGCCCAGGAGGTCTCTTCCAACTCTAGGATTCTACATAAGATGAGGGTTGGACTAGATTATCTTTGGTGACCTCTTTCAGTTCTAATGGCATGTGGAGGTTGATGGACTCCCCTCCTTCCGAGGTTGGATGGGCATCTTTCAAGAGTGTTTTACTTGTGCATTTTACTCAGACCAATAGTTCCAAATGACAGGGAAGGAGATTCCACTTGAACACGAGCAAGAACTTCCTGACTGCACAGAGAAAATGTTCAGCAGTGGAACTCTCTGTATCGGAGTCCAATGGAAACTCCTTCCTTGGAGGCTTTGAAATAGAGGCTGGATGGCCATCTGTTAGGGGTGGAGGGGGCTTTAGAGGTTCTTTTCCTGCATGCATGGTTGATTTTAGTGGTGTACGTGCATGTAAGAAGGGGTTGGGCTGGATGACCTTTGGGGATCACTTCCATCTTTAGTTGCATGCACACAAGCCTTCCTGCTCACGGTCCCACTTCTGTATTGGCTTGCCTGCTCATGGGTGCCTTTTGGAGCTGGGTGTCTTTCAGGGATGCTTTAGTACTGTATCTGAATGTAAGGAGGGGATTGGACTGGATGACCTTTGGAGGTCCCTTTCAGCTCTACTGAAGAATGGAGAGTAGTGGGCTATCCTCCTCTGAACTACCCTCCTAATTCTTCAAACATAGGAGTTATGTGTGGCTTCCGGGCTGTATGACTGTGTCCTAGTAGCACTTTCTCCTGTTGTTTCACCTACATCTGTGGCTGGCGTCTTTGGAGGATCTCTTTCAACATTGGGGGAGTGCTCTACTTGTGCATTGCTGCATTGCAAAATGGGGTTGGGCTGGATGACCTTTGGGGATCCCTTGCATCTCTAGTTCCTGCTCACGGTCCCAGTCCTGCCTTGGCTTGCCTGCTCATGAGTGTCTTTTGGAAATGGATATCTTTCAGGGATGCTTTAGTAGTGTATCTGCATAAAAAAGGGAGGTTAGACTGGATGACCTTTGGGGGTCCCTTTGGGTTCTATTGGAATACAGAGGGTGTCCTTTGGAGCTCTCTGCCTGTGAGTAAGGAGGGGGCCTTTCTGCACGAGTGCCTCTCTGACGGGTGAGCATCCCGTGTGGGGTCCCACGTGAGACCCCCTTTCTGCACCCATAGTGGCGCCCACCCTCCTGCCAGCCTGCCGCCCGCACCTGCCGCCCGAAGGGAAGGTGCCTCCCTGCATTGGGTCCTGTCACTTCACATCCGGATCCGGACGGGCGCCGGGGAGCCTTGATGTGACACCGCGGAAGGGAGAGCGAGTCAGGCGGGGGGAGCGCATGCCCCAGGCCCAGCGCTGTCCCCTCGGCACCCGTCAGGCAGGCACCATGCGCGGCCCTCATCCACATCACTCCCAGGAGCAGCCTGCGCTTCAGTCACTGGACACTCATCCAGTGGACCCGAATGGATGTTGGAGCTGCGGAATCGTAAAACTTGAAGGGTCACCCAATCCGACCCTGTGCTGCCGTGCTGCAAAACACAACCCAAGCCCTCCCGACAGATGGCCACAGATGGTACACTCAGGATCCATACATCTAGTGGATCTGAATGGATGTTGGAGCTGCGGAATCGTAAAACTTGAAGGGTCACCCAATCCGACCCTGTGCTGCCGTGCTGCAAAACACAACCCAAGCCCTCCTGACAGATGGCCACAGATGGTACACTCAGGATCCATACATCTAGTGGATCTGAATGGATGTTGGAGCTGCGGAATCGTAAAACTTGAAGGGTCATCCAATCTGACCCTGTGCTGCCGTGCTGCAAAACACAACCCAAGCCCTCCCGACAGACGGCCACAGATGGTACACTCAGGATCCATACATCTAGTGGATCTGAATGGATGTTGGAGCTGCGGAATCATAAAATTTGGAGTGTCATCCAATCTGACCCTATGCTGCTGTGCTGCAAAACACAACCCAAGCCCTCCCGACAGATGGCCACAGATGGTACACTCAGGATCCATACATCTAGTGGATCTGAATGGATGTTGGAGCTGCGGAATCATAAAATTTGGAGTGTCATCCAATCTGACCCTATGCTGCTGTGCTGCAAAACACAACCCAAGCCCTCCCGACAGATGGCCACAGATGGTACACTCAGGATCCATACATCTAGTGGATCTGAATGGATGTTGGAGCTGCGGAATCGTAAAACTTGAAGGGTCATCCAATCTGACCCTGTGCTGCCGTGCTGCAAAACACAACCCAAGCCCTCCCGACAGACGGCCACAGATGGTACACTCAGGATCCATACATCTAGTGGATCTGAATGGATGTTGGAGCTGCGGAATCGTAAAACTTGAAGGGTCACCCAATCCGACCCTGTGCTGCCGTGCTGCAAAACACAACCCAAGCCCTCCCGACAGACGGCCATCCAGCCCCTGCTTAAAAGCCTCCAGGGAAGGAGGGGCCCTCCACACAGCCATATAATCAGAATATCAAGGAATATCTGCTTATCTGAGTCCACACTGCCATATTTAATCCAGTTCAAGGTGGATTTTACACAGCTGCGTGGAAGGAGCCTCAGACTCCATTACACTCCTTCGGTTTTTGCAGTTTAATAAACTGTGATAGAGCCAATTAAAATTTTCCCATGACGTTAAGTTTACTCATTTCCGACTCTGGTGCTCATCTCCATTTCTAAGCCAAAGAGCTGGCTTTGTCCATAGGCACCTCCAAGGTCATGTGGCCATTGGCATGACTGCATGGAGCGCCGCTACCTTCCCGCCAGAGCTGAACCTATTGATCTACTCACATTTGCATGTTTTCGAACTGCTAGGTTGGCAAAAGCTGGGGCTAACAGCAGGAGCTCATCCCGCTCCCAGGATTTGAACCACCAACCTTTGAGTCAGCAAGTTCAGCAGCTCAGCGGTTTAACCTGCTGTGCCACCGGGGCCTCCAACAGAACCAATTAGGAAATTACAATTATAACCTAGGAACAAAAAATGTGTTCCATAGTGCAAGAAATGATTGACAATTTTTGGAAATTTGTGTATTTATTGATTGACTGTATTTGTATTCTGCTTTTCTCAGCCTTTCGGCGACTCAGGCCGGTTTACAGGCTGCAAGTTAATACGCATAATATCAAAATGCACATAAAAACCGTTAAATCACAATATAAATAAAACCACAACAGAAACAATAAAAATCAACATCATTCGCGCCTCCTTGTGAGAACATTGTCCAATTCCATCGTCTAGTCATTCCATTCCTAGGTCAGTTACTCTGCATCTGTATTTGTATACTTTGCTCGAGTGGCCTTCATTGGAGGTTTTCAAGCAGAGGCGGGATGGTTGTCTGTCGGGAGGGCTTTGATTGTGCTTTTCCTGCCTGATGGCAGAAGGGGGTTGGACTGGATGGCCTTTGGGGTTTCCTTCTAACCCTAATGGGATCTCCTGTTGCCTGGGAGTCTGATGGAGCCTCCTTCTCTGGAGGTTTTCAAGCAGAGGCTGGATGGCCATCTCTTGGGAGGGATTGGATGGTGCCTTCCTGATAGAAGACAGTTGGACTAGTGTAGATGGCCTCTGGGGGTCCTTCCTCTGGAATTTACTAGCACAGCTGGTAAATTATCAGCAATTATAAGATCTTTCAACCAAAAGGTTGCAAGTTCGAAGCCTCGGGTTGGCGTGAGCTCCCAACCGTCAGCCTAGCTCATTGTTTACTTAGCTCATTACGTAGCTCATTATTTATACATGGCTATCATGTCTCCTCTTAGCCTTCTCTTCTTCAGGCTATGCAGAGTCTGGTGCAGTCTCCTTCCCTGGAGGTTTTTAATCAGAGGTTGGATGGCCATCTGTTGGGAGGGCTTGGATTGCATTTGCCTGCTTGGCGGGGAAATTTTTGTTAGGTGTGTTTATTTCTTAGCTGCCTTGATTTCCAATGGGGAGAGAGGTTAGAAACAAAAGTAGTGATGATGATGACAATGGGGGTGGACTGGATGGCCTTTGGGGTTTCCTTCTAACCCTAATGGGATCTCCTGTTGCCTGGGAGTCTGGTGGAGCCTCCTTCTCTGGAGGTTTTCAAGCAGAGGCTGGATGGCCATCTGTTGGGAGGGATCAGATGGTGCCTTCCTTCCTGACAGACGAGGATTGGGCTGGATAGCCCTTCTCTGGAATATAGACCGCCTTGGAGTCTGGTGCAGTCGCCTTCTCAGAGGTTGGATGGCCATCTGTTGGGAGGGCTTGGATTGCATTTGCCTGCTTGGCAGGGAAATTTGTATTAGGTGTGTTTATGTGTTAGCTGCCTTGATTCCCAATGAGGAGAAAGGTGGGATAGAAACAAAAGTAGTGATGATGATGATGATGATGATGATGATGATGATGATGATGGGGGGCTGGACTGGATGGCCTTTGAGGGACCCCTTCTGTAGGTCAATCCATCACACACACACACACCCCAAGCCTAGATCCCAGTCAATGATCTCCCTTTGGAGGTGTCTAAGCAGAGGCCAGACAGCCCGAAAAACCTACAACAACCCTATGATTCTATGATGATGATGATGATGATGATGATGATGATGATGATGATGATGATGATGGATACTTTGGTTGTGCTTCCCCTGCATGGCAGATTGAGGTTGGACTAGATGGCCCATGTGATCTCTTCCAACTCTATGACTGTATGATTCTATGATTCGATGATGATGATGATGATGATGATGATGATGATGATGATAGAGTAGTAACCTTCTCTGGAGGTCTTTAAGCAGAGGCTGGAGCTCCCAGCAGTGCAATGGGTTAAACTCTTGCACCAGCAGGACTGGTGATGGAAAGGTTGGTGGTTCTAATCTGGGGACCAGGGTGAGCTCCCATCTGTCAGCTCCAGCTTCTTGTGTGGGGACATGAGAGAAGCTTCCCACAGGATGGTAACACATCCAGGCAATGTTCCCTGGGCAACATCCTTACAGATGGCCAGTTCTCTGACACCAGAAGTGACTTGCAGTTTCTCAAGTTGCCCTCAACACACACACAAAAGCTGGTTGTTCGAATCCAGGGACCAGAGTGAGCTCCCATCTGTCAGCTCCAGCTTCTCGTGTGGGGACATGAGAGAAGCCTCCCACAGGATGGCAACACATCCGGGCAATGTTCCCTGGGCAACATCCTTGCAGACGGCCAGTTCTCTCACACCAGAAGCGACTTGCAGTTTCTCAAGTTGCCCTCAACACACACACAAAAGTTGGTGGTTTGAATCCAGGGACCAGGGTGAGCTCCCATCTGTCAGCTCCAGCTTCTCATGTGGGGACATGAGAGAAGCCTCCCACAGGATGGCAACACATCCAGGCAATGTTCCCTGGGCAACATCCTTGCAGACGGCCGGTTCTCTGACACCAGAAGCGACTTGCAGTTTCTCAAGTCGCTCCCGACGCACACAAAAAGCAGAGGCTGGATGTCCACCTGTTGGTAGGGTTCTCATTGTGTCTTCCTGCCTGGCAGAATGGAGGTTGGGTTGGATGGCCTTTGAGGATTCTAGGATTCTAGGATTCCAAGACTGTATTATGGCTTGATCACTTGCCTTCTGGGGTTAATGGGCTCTCTGTGAAAGTGGGGTCACCCAAGTCCAAGTCAGCTGGGAGGCCGTGAGCATGCAACTGTTCCGTTGGGTGCGCACTGTATTGGAAGCCTGTGTTGTCTGCTGCATCCTCGGAAGGGCTTGGGGCCAGGCTGGTTGGCTGGCTGTCACCTGGCTGTCACTCCTGGTGGCAGATGAGCCTCCTGATGCGGAGAGACTGAGAAGAACAGAGCGAGAAGAGAGTCTCCTTGCCACTTCTCAATGTGAATGGGCGCATGATCCCTTTCCTTCCTCCCTTGGCTGTCACGTTTCCTCCTCGGGTGCCCCTCTCGCATCTCCTGCTCTCCTTGTCACATCGATGGCACAGCGGCCCCTCAACGTTGGCCAAGGCAAGCGAGGGAGGCTCCCACCCAGTTGTCTTTCCAAGTTCCTCCCTCCGCCGTGGAAGGATCCTCCCTTTGCAACCGAAGCCCAGGGGACTTGAGAGGCAGATTCTCTTGGATGCCGACCCCAGAACGGTGGTCAGCAGCCGGGCAAGAAGACAAGCCTGGACCCCTCAGACCCCCAAGGCAGGGGCAGACTTGGGCCCTCACCTGGAGCTCAACTCCCACCATTCCTAACAGCCTCCCCCTCAGCCACTTCATATATTATATTATATTTACTTATACTCCGCTTTATCTCTTCCCAAGGAGACTCAAAGCGGCGTCACATCAAACTTTGAATATGCCTTGATTATAGAATCATAGAATCCTAGAATCCTAGAGTTGGAAGAGACCTCCTGAGCCATCCTCCAGTCCAACCCCATTCTGCCAAGAAGCAGGAATATTGCATTCAAAGCACCCCTGACAGATGGCCATCCAGCCTCTGTTTCAAAGCTTCCAAAGAAGGAGCCTCCACCACACT